GCTCTTATCGATTAACTAGATGTAAAGCTCCATAAATCTCTTATTTTGAAATGCTTTATAAGTGTTATGAAAATAATATTTGACCCTCCATTTATCATTTTAATCTAAATATGAGAGAAATGCAAGTCCTTGAAAATAAATGTTAATTATTATGCATGCACGTAAATAGTGAAATACATACTTGAATATAAGTATTACAATTACAATTAAATGCATAAATGAAGGTAAATGGTAAATACGATACACGAATTAACATGAATGTTATTTAATTTAAAATTAATATGAAGTAATATAAACATGACAATTAATGTAAATCATTAATACTTTATGAATATAATTTAATTTACAATTAAGTGAAAAAGATGCTAAACGTGAATCATAAACTGCATCATTGAATTTAAAATTTTAGTTAATATTAATTAGATGAATGTTAATATTAATATTAATTAATTGAGAATTAATAAGAGGGCATTGATTTGAACGTGAATGTAAAATTCTAATTAATATTAATTAATGAATGTCAATGCTAATTAATTGAGAATTAATTATAGTATTTACTATAGCTTGTAAATTAAATATGTATTGAAAAACGAAAAATAAGATATTATTGAAATAATTGAATTGTACTAGGGTTATAATCGTCAAAACAATGATTTTAACTTGATGTGATATTTAATATATTTTAAAAAATGAAAAATAAGATATTATTGAAATAATTGAATTGTATTAGGGTTATAATCGCCAAAAAAATGATTCTCACTTAATGTGATATTTAATATATTACAGATTTGATACTTTTTTTTTTTGAAAAGTTATTCATAATCTTAATGGATTGCCAAATGTTGAATCTTAGGCTACTTTTTATCAATTAATAAGTCTTTGTTTGGTAGATATTAAAATAACACTTTTTGTAGATTTTGATAAAATTAATAAAATATGTGTTTGAAAAATTATGACTTCATAAAATATATGATTAAAATTAATTATTAATTTTGATTTAAAGTGAAATATGTGTACCAAACACGACATTTTTGTCTTAGGTTGCTTTTGACTTCGGAGGCATTGGACTTTGTCTAGTGGTTTTCCCTCTAGAGGAAAACACTCGCGTGCCTGATTATGTGCCATTATTAGCTCGACCTGTCCCAACTCACTATACAAAATACGAACCCCTGACTCGTTCGTAGCACCGTACGACCCAGAAACCAAATCATTACTCGAAGTGATAAACAAGTTGATGGTGGCCCTTTCCTGTTCGCCGCACCCGGCGGTCCTCTTGACACGTGTCATCTTAGCCCTTTGAGTCCCACAGCTCAACAACCCCATTTACACCTTACTATCCAATGTCGCCGACGCTCAACTAACCCGGCTATACGTACACGTATTTATATATGTTTATGTAAATCTATTTATTTCAATAAATATCTCCCTGGAATTTGTTCCTCCAATTATTTCTTTTTGTGCCATTTCAGAATCTGATGCGTTATCACTGTTCAACTAACTTCTTGATAAGCTCGACGCTTTCAAGGTTTATATTTTAAGAAAGCATTAGAATTTTCTATCTGAATTAAGTATTAACTCAAGGTTTTGAAATTACTGACAGCAAATTGACTGTGCTTGATTGATAGATCAATCATCAAGATTTTGAGTGTGTTTTTAACGATCGCGAAATAGCGATGTCTGGACCCTTGGATCGATTTGCGAGACTATTCACACGTGGGTTAAGGGTAATTTGGATTCCTACAATTGTTGACTTTAATATTTCCCTACTACAATAGATCATTTTTTAATCAATTTATATGCTTACAATTGTTGACTTTAATATTTTTATACTGTACTAGTTCTTTTTTTTTTTTAAATCAATAAATACTACTCCACACAGTACGGAGTACTTGCTCCGCCCACTGCCCGTTGTATTATGTAAAATATCTTTACCCACAATTGTTGACTTTGAATGTCGGGAAAAAAAATCCGATTGCTCCGAACCCCCCCGGGCCCCACTGCACACTTCAAAATCCTTTTTTTGTATCTCACTGTTCACGAGCTCGTTTCCATCCATCCATCCAGATGTAAAGTATTCTATTATTCTCTCTCTCATATATTCATTTTTGTCACCTTCCATTTCACACTTCAATTGGTTGTGCACTGTTCATTTATGTGGTGCCCCATTTCACACTTTAACTGGACATTTACTATTCACTTATCTGTTAGTAGTGTTCATAAATATCTCCCTAAGAAAATAAAATAGCAAAAAGAAGAAATGGATCACTTCTAAAACGCGCGCACACACACACACACTCTCTCTAACCCTAATTTCAGTTACCATAGAAATTTGGCATCTCTCTCTTCCACCCCTACCCCATCTCCGTCGCCTGCCTCCACCCTACCACATCTCTGTCGCTTGCGAGCACCAGTTATCGTGCCTCTTATCTTGGCTTGAAGCTTTACTCTACTCCAATTTTTTCCACTCTTCAATCTCACTTTCGGTCCCACATAAGTTCATACTTTGCTTTTTTTCAATTTTTTTTTGTTCCTAAAATCGTTGATTCTTTTAGATTTGGATAGAATAAAATTTGAGGTAATTTCTCTTCTTTGATTCTCTTTTGATTTTGAATTTTCTTAGATATGAATGTTTTTAAATGTTTCTTTCGATTTATTTAGTTGTATTGTTGAATCAGCTTTTTTTACTCTTTCTCTCCTTCTCTCTCTTCTCTAAACACTGTTCCTTCATTTTTCTTCGACATTTGACGGTGGTTTCGAGTTGGGATGGAGGTGGAATTGATGGGTCGAAGGTGGTGGAAAAGGGGCAGGAAGGAGTCAACATGGTGGTCAACTTCGAGAAGTCGAGGAGAGGCTGCTTTCAAATTCGAGAGGAAGGTGGGGAGATTTTTGTAAGCTTCTAAATACGAAGTAACGCTTCATAGTCATGAAGGCGGTGGACATGGAGAAGGTCATTTATGATATTATTGGAAAGTTTGAATGATCGATTAGTAAAAGTTTCGGACTTTCTCTGATATTTCGTTTAATTCTTCTTCTCTGTTGTTCAATTTGTGTTTCAGCTCTTCGTGTGTGAACTGGTAATTTTCTTTCTTCATTGGTAAATTTTTTGAAGTCGATTTTAGTTTTTTTTTTAATCTTGGTTTGTTTTTGCTGTAAACTCGAATGATTTTTGTTTATTTAGAAAATCTTCGACTACTTTATTTTGAATTTGAACTTCTCTTAGAATTGTTTGTGGTTTTCTCTATAATGCTTAATTGGTTTGATTTGTGACTGTTTGGGTTAGCTCTTGTTCCTGATTTTGGGTATTTGGTATTGTTAAGCCTCAAAGACCATCTATATATCACAAGCCATGGCTTCCATTTTGCCGTTTCTTATAGTAAAGAGAAGGTGAAGGACTCAATAATTCAATCGTACAAGAGACATATCAATGGTTTTGCTGTTGTTCTTGAAGAGGAAGATGCATCAGAAATAGCAAGTATGACAATACATATTTTTTTTATATTTATTCCTATGTTTCCTATGTCCTGGGTTTATAGCATGTTTGGTAATAAGGGAAAAAAATGTCAAAATCTTGTTCACCATAGTGTCCAATACAGCATGTTTATTTTGTACTAAAACATGTTTTTGTCATTGAAGAGCATCCAGATGTAGTATCTGTTCTCTTGGATCAAGGAAGAAATTTACACACAAGACATTCATGTGAATTTCTTGTGTTGGAATGAATTTCTTTGCATTCAAAACGCTAATATTACCTTAGAAATAACACAAGCCGTGCAATACACGGGGCAAAAACTAGTATAAATAAAAGAACAAAAATAACTAGAAGTACCATAAGAAACACGTCTTATCTTTTTTTTTTTTTTTGAACTAAGGGTTTGGAATGATTTGATACAGGGGAGCAATTTGTGGATGAATGGCAGTTTTAGCTAATTTTGTGGGATTTAATTAATGGTGGCGTGAACCCGCAAGTTAATTTAGTAGGATTTGAGGAGTAAAGTGATTTCTTGCTTTTTAAATATTTTTTTTATTGCACTGAAGGAAATAAAAAAAAAATATGTTAATCATACATTTTGTGAGACTAGTCAGAGTGAACTTGCGTTGTACGTTATTCTAAAATACAAAAAAATATGTTTATCAAAAATTTGTGAGACTAGTCAGAGTGAACGTGCGTTGCATGTCATTTTAAAATATTTTATAAGTGTCGCGAACATAATATTTGACCATTCATTTATCATTTTGATCTAAATATAAGAGAAATGCACGTCCCTGAAAATATATATTAACTATTATACATGCAAGTAAATAGTGAAATGCATAGTTGAATGTTAATTAATTTTGAATTAATACCAATTAATATATACCTCACAATAAAAGTTAAATTATTTATATTTAATGAATATAATTTAATTTCCAATTAAGTGAAAAAGATGCTAATTAGTATACATAGACGTGAATCATAAACTGCATCACTGAATTTAAAATTGAGTAAGTCTACTGGTACATCAAATTCTACAGCAAGGGATCCATAATTGATGACGTGGTGAGATTTTGAACCAAAATCTCGCTTAATTAAAAAACAAAAAAACCAAAAATCCCAAAATTAAAACCCTCGTTTTTTCACATTTCCCTCTTCAAATTTCCGGTTTCTTCGAAGACGATTGGAAGAGGGAAGCTCTCAAACAACTCTTAACCATTTATGATCGAAATTTTGTCGATGCTTTCCGGTACCGATGCCGGTGAATGAGAAGCCGTCCAACAACGATCAACCCAGTAAAGTAGTTAGTTTCTTCCAGTAGCAATCGGATTTGACCTTTATTCCAGTATCAGTGCATTTTTTGGAGTCTTCCGGTATGGACGGCGATGAAGTCGACGACAAGGACGGCAACAATGGTGAAATAATTGTGTTTCCTTTTTATTCGAATTTTTGATTTTTTTCTGCCTATATTTGGTTGTGAAATTCTGAAATTCTCCCGTTGAAAATCTCCTACATCCCTACAGATAAGCACACTCATAGTAACCAAGAAACTGAACAGGGGTGCAACTATATGGTGGAAGTCGATGCTAACAGTGGTAAAACTTATTGCCTTTTCAATTGGAATGCAATTTTTTTGAGCTGAAATGAACTAGTTAAATGTGTGAAAACATCTTTCCTTAAGCTTATTAGCCATGGAAAAAATAAATATGAACTGTTTGCTTGCTTGCTTGCAGGAATGTAGATTAATTCATTGAAGGATCAAGTGATGAGAATAACATCTCCTCTACCACCTCAAGCGTTTGGGACACAATATAGTATGGAAGTTATAACAACTTTGCAGTGAACCATCAGATTTTTTGGGGGACAACTTTTGATGTGGTGATGTGTCGGTCTCTTAATTTTTGACAGATTTTTGGGAGATCTTTTGATTTTGTAATGTCTCTATTTTGGGCTGGATTGTAATTATGATATGAAAACCTTTAGTCAGATAGAGTTGTAAATTCTAATATGAACTTTGTTTTTCCTGGTTTATTCTTCTTGGTCCAAATGTAGCATCAGACTATGCTACAGAAGTTTGATGCTTAACATGTAATTGTACTTCCATATATCTTCTATGTTACAGAACTTTGATGGGGTATACCAACCTGTGCAGCCATTTGCTTATAAACCATTTTAGTTAATTTCCTTTACTCATTACACACATATATTGTACTGTTTACCAAGATGAAGAATAAAGATTAGATGTGATGTAACTAATAGTGGGAAATAATGAATATTTGGTTGAGAGTTGTTTGAGAGCAGTGCATTTGCTTCTAAGAAGCAGTAGCAGTGCATTAAGAATTTTTTTGTATTTCATTTGCTACATCCTATTTGCTTTCCATTCGCTTCTATTAGCTACATCCCATATAATCTCTATTAGCTACATCCCACTAGCAGTGCATTAAGAAATAAGATTGTCTTCTAAAGTTAATAAATGCAAAGTTCATAAAGACAATTTGCATATATAATAGTACAAAGTTCATAAAGCCAACTACATTCTCAACACAACCAATTACAACTACGTATACAACAATCAACAATAACCATGTAAGACATTCTGCTACTTCATCGTTTTCTTCACAACCAACCAACAACAATACAAAGTTCATAAAGCCAATTAAGTATTGCTTCTTCATCGTTTTCATTGCTGTTATCAGCCCCACCAGCCCTAACCATGTAAGACATTTAGCCTCTTCGTTTTTGTGGACTGCAATCTCCCTGCCCAAACAAGACTACAATCTGACCCCATTGGTTTTAATCTCCATTCAGCTTCTTCTACGGTTCTACCCTCTTGCTTCTGACCTCAGAACCCCAATTGGTTCTTCTGTGTTCGCTCTGTTGCTCATTCGGACATGATGGCTTGGCAGCTCCATGGTAAAAGAAAGAAATTACCTTCGGCTGTTCTAACCTGTGGATTCCTGGAGTAAAAAAATGAAAATTACAATATAGAAAAGGTAAGTAGGTAATCAAGGCTATACCAGTGTACATCATTTTACCATTTGAAAATGAGTTCTGGTAAGGCGATGGCGCCTTCGTGGTGGTGGATGCGACCTTCGGGGTCTTTCGTGGTGGTGGAGAGATGGGCGATAGAGCCGGGAGCCTCCTTTCTTCGTAGTGGTTGAGCGAAGGACGACAGCGCTGGGAGCCTTCCTTCGTAGTGGTGGGGCGACCGGAGCCAACAATTTGGGAGAATGAAGGGTTTGAATTGGGTTTAATTGATTTGGGGGTTAAATGGGGGAAAAGCGTGCCTTGAAAGATTAGGGTGTGTTTTATAAATTTTGCAACAACTCAAATTTTTTGTCAAAATATCGTCAAAATCTTGCCACATCATCATTATGGATCCCTTGTTGTATGCTCTGATATACCAGTAGACTTTCCCTTTAAAATTTTAGTTAATATTAATTAGATGAATGTTAATATTAATATTAATTAATTGAGAATTAATAATAGGGCATTGACTTGAATGTGAATGTGAAATTCTAATTAATATTAATTAATGAATGTCAATGTCAATGTTAATTAATTGAGAATTAATTATAGTATTTTACTATAGCTTGTAAATTAAATATATATTGAAAAATGAAAAATAAAATATTATTGAAATAATTAAATTGCATTAGGGTTATAATCGCCAAAAAAATAATTCTAACTTGATGTGATATTTAATATGTTATAAAAAAAATGAAAAATAAGATATTATTGAAATAATTGAATTGTATTAGGGTTATAATCGCCAAAAAATGATTCTCACTTGATGTGATATTTAATATATTATAGATTTGATACTTTTTTTTTTTTTGAAAAGTTATTAATAATCTTAATGGATCGCCAAATGTTGAATCTTAGGCTACTTTTTATCAATTAATAAGTCTTTGTTTGGTGGATATTAAAATAACACTTTTTGTAGATTTTGATAAAATTAATAAAATATGTGTTTGAAAAATTATGACTTCATAAAATATATGATTAAAATTAATTTTGATTTAAAGTGAAATATGTGTACCAAACACGACATTTTTGTCTTAGGTTGCTTTTGACTTCGGAGGCATTGGACTTTGTCTAGTGGTTTTCCCTCTAGAGGAAAACACTCACGTGCCTGATTATGTGCCATTATTAGCTCGACCTGTCCCAACTCACTATACAAAATACGAACCCCTGACTCGTTCGTAGCACCGTACGACCCAGAAACCAAATCATTCACTATTTGTTCAACTACCACCGG